CCTCTATTGGCAAGGTGTACTCTGTTTTCGGAGATATGTTATAACTGTCCTTCCATGCGATTAGTCTGATATACTCGAGCCAGTTTTCCTTTTAGCATTTAATCTTTTTTTAGAAGCTTTCTTTCTTTGAATATACCCTTATTCCTGAGTATTTAAGACTTTTTTTATTCAATATTCCAGTTGCATGAGGACGTGCATAAAAGCGAATTAAAGTAAGAGAATTGTTAATATTTTACTTACTGATGAATATTTCCTTGCTGCCTTTAAACTCTTTTGAAGGAACAGCCATAAAGTAAGGTCCTAACGGCAAACTTGGGAAGTTGCTGTAGCAACAGACAGGATCCACATCCTCGTTTTAAACAAAGTGCGATTGATACAGCGTGGGCGCAAATTTGGACGAGTACTTTTGTGATTATTGGTTCTTATGCCGATCTACGCGCATCCATAACCAAGGGTATATTTCTGTTGAAGTTGAGTGCATTTTGAAAGCCTGCGCGACCCCTTTACCCGTCAGGTTATATTGCAAAACAAGAACAAAGCCGTTTGAACTGCCGACATCAGGCAATGTAAAATGCTCGTATTAGTTTCCGACGGCCTTTCCTGCCCAGGTTTTATGTCTATACCTTGACAAAGGGCTTACAAAAGCAACTTGCTAAAAGTGCATTGTTATTAAATGACATCGGGTGTGTCCCTGAAATACTGTATTTAGGGTAAGACGAACAACTACTTTATGAGCTTAGGTTATTGTTTTACTGTCTTCACAGTCCCTTGAAGTGTGCTCAATGCCTGATTACAGGAATTATGTCTGGTTTCCTGAATTGCTGGTCATTTTTGGCCCGGTTTCCGGGTTTCACGGTATGACTAGGAGTGTACTTCCTGACTTCCTGTGTGAATTCGCATAAAACTGTGCACCTGTGCATCATATCCAAGGGCTTATCTGCGTTGAATTGCACTCAGCTTTCATGAGTTATCAAGACACACTAATTTCTCCATCCGAACTTGCGACATGAACGCTTGCTTATTCAATTTTCCATCCTTCGTACATTTTTCTTTACTCGGTCGATGAGGAATCAATTTTAAATGAGTTCCCCTGTTTTCATGGTTTACCTAATAAAATATCCTACCAATTTTCAAGAAAAGGCGTCCTTTGGGAAAATGAGTAAATGTTTTCGTAAACTTTTGGACACTGGATCCCCAGTTCGTCGTAAGACATGAGAAAAATGTGCGAAGAACAGTTAACATTTCAAATTGCTGATACAGTAATATAGTCATCTAGTGTGGGCACTAACTTGTAGTTGCAATTTGCGTCACATCATGTTAGACATAATTAGCAGTCGCAATGGCTTGGACACGGTATATTGTGGCCAAAGGGGAAGATCTGTCTCCATACTCATCCACGAGCACCAAATGGTAGTGAAGAGACGTGACCATTTGTCCGAAGTGGCTATGCATTGCCTTGACACAGGATATAACTTTGCATGGGATAAAACCCGCATCGTCGGAGCTTGCCCCTCCAAAAAGGCAGAGGGTTTCTTCAGGCCATGCACTCCGATGATTCATGAATCAGCCGGCGTATCGAGTTGGATGGAGTATACAAACACCTCAAAGAAAGGTGGAGGAGACCGCAGCCTGACAAACATGGACCAACATGAACCGCAATTAGCGCTCACACCCGATGGCCTTGACTGACCCCGGACCGACTCAAATTACAGTTGCCAATTTGCTTATTATGTCCACCACGATGGGACG